GGGCTTAAGCTTAAGTTGTGGTCGGGGCCGGACAAGCCCGACTGGGCAGGGCTGGGGCTGCGCCACCTGCACCTGGGGCCATGCTGGTCAGGATCGGTGTCAGAGAGAGAGCGAGCCATGCCCTGAACCCCCTTAAATCCATGAATTCACAGGGGCATTGATTGGCTTTGCCCTGGTCAGAGGTGGGTCTGACAAAGGCAAAGGGGGAGCTTTTCAGGTAGCTTCTTGAAGGGTCTCCATAACCCTTCCCTTGTTATCAAAGACACAACCAAAAACCCCTCAAGGAAAAGCCAATACAGTATGAATGCACACTGCCCCCCAAAAAAATTTCATAGTTCTTTAAGAACTTCACATTCTATGCCACATGAAAAATAATGTTTTCTGTATTCATTAATCCTGCTTCACAGAAAAATTCCACGTTGCTATTCTTATACAAACAATACAGGCTGTGACTGAAAGCTTGTACTCCATCTCTGCTTTGTCAAAGGCCCCTTTTCCCAACATTTCTTTTCGATCTACTTTAGATAAAAATCTATTTGCAGAAGCAATGCCTCAGGAACAAAAAAAAACCCTGTTAAATACAGAGCCTTGGATTTAGTCGTTAAATCCTCCAAGCATGTGTTTGGGGAGTTCTGTTTTAGGTTACATACCTTACATACATACCTATGTTTTGGTATACATACATACCTATGTTTTGGTATACATGTATGGGTTACATACCTTAGAACATCATTTTCATCCTTCAAGACTCTAGATTCTTCTGCCAAAGAGGTCAGTTCATTGTTTCTATGCTGCAGTTCAATCAACTGTTTTTCTAGGTCTTCACAATGGACACGATAATCATCTTTCGCAGCTTCAAGCCTAGCAGATGAAACACAGGAACTCTGTTAAGAACTCACCGTTATTAGACATTTCTCATTTAGTGCTAGAACTATTAAAAGTAAGTAAGACAAAGCAAACCTTAAGTAGGCAGAAAATTATGGTACGGTAAGCATGGAACATTTTATTGTCTACCTGTTAAATCATGATGGATCGTGTATTGCAAATTTATCATATCAATATCAAGGGATCACACAAAAGTGATTTTTTTACCCTTATAGCAATCACAGGGAGAAAAACTATTATGTAAAAGAAATCAGTGCAGTAAAGAGATACAGGGGGTTTGGGGAGGACTTTGTTTTGGTTTGGTTTTTGTTTGGATTTTTTGCGTCTTTTTTTTTTCCTTTTTGTTTACACACAAATCACTCATTTCCTGCTTTCCATCACCTTCTTTGAAGTGTCAAATGGCTACAATACAACAATTATAGAGTAATATTTTCTACAAGTAGCTTTGTATTTTTAAAGGTAAGGTTTGCCTTTAGAATATCTGTTTATATAGTACTAGAAAGCTTTCACAGAAAAAGAAATTGAGATGGAAAAATCCTGAAAGAGTACCAGAAATTCTCAGGATATATTTGACACAAGTGAGGGATTTTTGAGAGAAATTATTTCATACCTGTAGTTTTCTTCTTGCAGTTGTTCCAGCTGCAACTGTGCATGAAAATACTTTTTTGCAACCACAGTATTTGGATCATCAAGAGAGTCGTCTAATTGCTCTAGCCTGTCATTCATAATCTCATTTTCTGACACTAAGCTGTTTTTTTCATCCTGGAGGGCAGCCACCTAGTGCAGATAAAACAGCATCAACATCGTAAGACCTGTTCAACTGGAAAGAACTAAAGCAAGACAGCAATACATCACTAAATTAGTTTATGGAAAAAGGTTAAGCGTTTAGAAGTTTATGTAATTTACATAGCACACTTGAGCATACGGATGCTTTAGTGTATGACAGTTATGAAGCACTACAGGAAAAGTGCCTCTACAAAAAGAGACAAGTTTTTATAACTGAAACCACGGCAAAGGCAGACAATGTGATATGGAGAGAAACTGGTACTTTCATTAAAAAGGCTACCATGGACGCCGTACAAAAACCTTTTAGTAGTGGTGTAAAGATACTCTCCATCTTGCTTGTACTTGACAATAAAAAGCAGGATGGCACTGGCTAGCACACGAACACAGTACTGCCGTGCGCTCAGCAGTGAATGGTTGCGCAAGAAGCGGTTTCAGGCGCCGTAAGCACACACGCAAAAGAAAAAACCTAGACAGCTTCATATAGAGCATGCATTTTCTGCAACAACCAAACAAGTTTGATATTGAAAGTGTTCACAGCTAAGCAAATGCAAATACAACACTTTATTGAAACAGTAAGTATATTAACAGCCATAAAACAGGGAAGGATTAAGAGGATAGAACCTTTAAAGTTTTTCTAGTGAAAGCTGTTGTGTTAATTTTAACATCCTGTCAAACATAAGAGCATGTAGCATGTGTTAGTTAACTGGCATTTAAACAGGGACAATATGCTTTTTGGGTTATGTTTTCCTGAATCATAAAGAAAACCTACCTTTCTTATACTCTTGGAAAATATCAAGGAAGACTGAGACCTTACAAGTGAATTTATTAAGAATTAGTTTAAATAAGAAGCGTCAGTCAATATTATGGCTTCAAATAAATAAAATAAAACAAACATATCATGGTGACATTATTAGATTAAACATCAGATATAACCTAGAGTAGCAATATTAAGAAACACTTTGTGATCATGATTTAAAAGTCTATCAAGCAGATGTAAGAAACAAAACAGTAATTAATCTACCACTTGGTAGGTGTTGGCTTTCTAGGTTCACTCTTTTTTACATACCAGCTGTCACTTTAGCATATATAAGCATACAAGAAACCTCTGAGTAGAGAGCATATCTGCAACTTGCTCAGCATAATACTTCTGTTCAAGGTTCAGCCACTCCTTAAACATGCACAACATTCACACCTTTGGAACACTGTTAAAAGAACACCCATCTCAGACTTCAAATAAAAACCCCACAAAAACCAAAACAACAAAACCTGAAAACTATTGCACAACTCAGCAAGTTTTTAATCTTTTCTTGTTTCCTTTCTGATAGCTTTTTCTTTCCTATTATTTCAACGTAACAAGTAGTGTCAAAGTTAATAAAAATTACAAAGAGACACTTTAAAAACATGTCACAGTATTAAAGAGCCATGGTGTCATTAACCCATCTATTCACACTCAGCAGGGCTTTTTCCTCAAACACCTTTCATGCCTTCACCCAGCTCACCTATTACGAGCAACTGGTTTTGTGTAACATCATTAATTAATAGAAAAAATATCAAAAGATAAGCTTGTGGGAGACAGGAGAAAGCCTGGGACCTCTCCAGTGACACATACTAAGTCTAATGGAAGCAGAAAGTGTTATCCCAGCACCTCCAGAAGCAAGAGCTTCTGAACAGTGAACACTTTTTGACATGTAACAAGTACAGTCTGCGAGTTCAGCTGTCAAATCAATCCTCTTGGTCATTTAAAAAGAAATAAGCGACTTGCTGTTTCTTACCTGTAAATCTAGCTCTTGACATCTTTGTGCCAGCTCCTCTTTTTCTGCTAGTGCTTCCTGAAGATCTTCCAAAGCTTTTTTAAGCTTTTAAAAAATAAGATATTTAATCATTCTGGCTCATACTTAAAGCATTCACAGTTCTGACTTCCAAAATCTGTTTATTTCACCTGCATTTTAAATAACTTCCACATGCAGTAAGTAAATTATTGAAACTCAGAGTAACATCCAGATTCAACACAACAACTTAGGCTAAAAGCATAACAAAACCAAACACAGGAACATTTCTGTTGTCACAATTTCAAGATCTGTCCGTTAAATCAAACGCCCTTCATCTCAAAGAAATGCTGATGTTCCTTTATGGGCAGATACTTTTAAAGGCAACTTCATTTTATGTTTAACACCTTGTAGTGTTCAGATTAGCAACAATTTTCATGACCCCTTAAAATAACCTGAGGTGTTTAGCCTGATACAGCTGAGCCTTGATGTACCCTTAGCTCTTCTTGCAATGTTTACACTGGCCAGTTTTATCTCATCCAGGAAGATGGCATAGTGGTCACTGCATTTTTTTTAAAGAAGCTACAAAATAGCACGCAACTTTTCAGTTAATTAGCACTAAAAAAAGCCTTACTTTATTGAATATTCTCTGCCTACATCAGTATGTTGTTCTGTCCTTACTCAGATCAGCTCTGACTGGAACACAGACCAAGTAGTTTGTGCAGATAAAAGAATGCAATTTATTGTTGAGTTCTGGTTGGTTTCTTTTTTAACTTTTAGAATGGGAGAGGAAGAGGAAGAGTAGCCCTCCTCTTCATTTAAGGCACGGCAAGATACCAAATTATTGTTCAAGTCTGAACTACAACCACTACAAATATTAGGCAGTTACCTGCTGTTCCATTTCACTGGATGCATCACTTGTGGAAGAACCTGTTACTTCCTTGCTCATGAGCTACAGAAAGAGGCCATAGGAAAAGAAGGTTAAATCAGAGGTTAGATAACTGTAAATTCACTGTCCACTGAGTACTCATTGCATTTTCCACCATGCCCTTGCACCCCTTCAATATACCAAAACAAATTAATAATAATTTTTAAAAAAAACCCACTGCACCTCGTGGTTGATAAAGAATCTGAACAAATCTAGAATAAGACTGATATTTTATTAACTCTTTCCTCCCCAGATAAACCAAGTTAGCAGTAACATCTTATCAGGGACTCTGATCTGTTGAAGTTATTGTTACCCCCTTGTCAAGTTAAAGTGGAGTCAACCAGAGGACAGGATTTCACTTGATTAAATTAAGTTACCACACTTGTTCACTTAATGGCAATTAACATGACACAAAGAATGGTATCCTTAACATAGCTCTCGCTGATCACCAGTACAAAGACACACACTGTTTGTCAGCAACTAAAAGACTTTACTTCTTACTTGAAAATTACAGTATTATTTCTAGACCTTCTACAGAAAGGAAGTCTGATTAGACAGAATACAACAAACACAAGGTTTATGGATTTTTCTCCCAATAGGTCACTTACAGCTTTAAAGACTATACAATCAAAATATATTGGAGTTTTAAAGCCTACTACCAACTCCAGTTACCTTGATGAGGGTACACACTGCATTTTCTTCAAAGTTACCGTTTAGTTTTTGCCTCCCTCCACACTGCTTCACAGTCGTGAGTGACTGTAGAGCTATGCTGTGAGCTGGATCCTTAAGATGATCCAACTGAGAACAAGATAGCAGGGAGAGCACCCCATGACTTGTAAATCAGATGCAGGAATAGTCTGTCAGAACAACGTGTAGCCTCACAACCTGTCACTATCAGCTTACCTTTGGGTCCAAGACTACATCACTGGGACAGAAATTTCAGAACCTGACTGCAGTATAATCAGTGGTCAGCAACTGAACACATTCCTTGTGTGAAACAGGAAATCGTAAGCATTTATTGTCTCCACAAGTTGTATGTTTAGGCATACAAGACTAAAATCAAAATGACTTGGTTGGGACCTGGGGCCTCTTGAACCTCATCCTCACAGATTAATTTAGGGAATTACTTAATGCTCTTCCCTGACTTTTGCTCAGATTAAAGAACTCAAAGATCAACAAATGGCTATTCAGACTTCTCAACTGACAGCATTAGGCCATGAATTACTACTTACCTCTTGAATGGCAGTCATGACAACATGTTGAACAGACTCTTCAAGGGTCATGATATTTTGTATGTGTTCTGTGAAAGAGAATTTGTAGTGACTCATGAGAATGTTCATAATGGCTTGAGTAACATGACATACCATTTGCAAAAAGATCTGGAAGAAACTATTCTCTATAAAGCTTCTTCAAAACAGGTAGCACTTTTCATACAGTGCACTACTGTTAACCAACATTATTACCCAGTAATGTGATAGATAAGCATATGAGATTTTAATCTCTTACATGAACAAATTTATATTGTGTATAATAGAGCAAGAAGACATCTGTATTTCCATGGTTCTTTTTTCATACATACATCTATGTATGCATATAGATAAACTTTTGCAAAGAGTCAACAAGCTTGCAATGGACAAATAAAACAATGAGAAAAACTGCTAGCATTTTCATTCCCAATGCAGTCTGGTGGCTATTTCCCAAACAAGCTTGGATGCAGTCATTTCAGACTACCTAGGAATTGCACCTGCTCGACTAACAATCAGGATGAGGATCCCTTAGCCATCAGAGCATTGAGCATTAGCTCTAGTAAGGGGAGAGAAAACTCAACTCACTCAGTCTCAAGCCTCTGCAGATAAACAAGAGGCAGATTCTAACAAGTTTTTAATTTAGTTTGCTTGACTTGCATTTAAATAGTAAGGTTTAGGTCTTGGTACGTATTTTAACAAGTATGAATAATCTACACACACTTCAGACTTTTTTTTTTTTAAACCTACCCTGAGCAAAAGTGTGAGTTTTATTCACAGAAGTTTCCCATACATTTTCTGCTTTCAAGTGAACTCCAGATTCGGAATAGGCACGCAGCTTATTAACAACAGAGACTTTTTTATATATAAGAAATAAAAGTTTCTACATTTCTTACACCGTAACAACCACCTGAAGCAATCTGCTCTCTGTTGAGCAGATTAAGGTAGCACATACCTTGTTTCCTTTCACAGTTGACCGCACAACCTAAAATAAGCTGCAGAAGCCTGCCAAGTTCAGTGGGATCTGAGTTCTCAGATATCTGGTTTAAGTCTGGAATAAGCTCTTCTGAAATCTGCTGACCCAAGAACTGGGGAAAAAAAATATGAGAGAAAGTGGACTCCCACTTTTGTACAACATGAAAATCTGGCATCATGTAAGAAAATCTGAACTCATTAAGCCATCCAGAGAGAACAGGGTATTCATAATTTTGTTACCATAAAACTTATGGAAGGGAAAGATTTTAAACATTAGAAGTGGAGATACACACTAAAAATACTGGTTTATGAGAGAGTACACAGATAACAGTATCATGTCGGGAAATTTTAAGAGACCTAGACAAAGGAGATGTTGTTAACACATTTGTTACAGAATAGATTAGAAGATTAATTATTAGAATAACAAAAAAAATGTTGCTGTTTCCATACCTCATGATAATAGTCCATAATTCCTTGCAGTATCTTCTTCAGATTACTGGACTAGTTGTTGTACATGAAAGATAAGGTTACAGACTTTTATTAGAATTCTTAATTTTGTGGAAATTAAATAATAACTTACAAGAAAATGTTTAGCCAGCAGGTCTATGAGAGGACTGTATACAGGGGAAGAGAAATATCACAACAAAATATCCCCGTGCAACAATGCTGGAAGGAACTTTAAACTATGGACAAACTGTTCAAGGTCGTTTAAAATAATCTTAAAAAGTCAGAGCTTAATTCTGTAGGTTTTGGACTGCTACATACTCTTAGGACAGACACAATATCCAAGCCCACAAACTTCCTCTAACTTCAGTTTTTAATACCTTTATTCTCCAGTTGTCTCCAACATCATCTTTAATGCGATTTAGCCAAGATGCATCAAACCAAGCGACATCTCTGAAACAAAATCAAATTATTAAATACCAGTAAGCACACACTTAAATAAGATAGAGTCTCAGCATTAAATCATCAGATGTTTGACTACAGTGTCTAATAAGCCATGAATTCCCGGAGATTGCAAGCTATATCTAGGAAATTTCCACCTTGCTAGCTGCATGAAGATGCCACTTTCCAGGGCAGACTCTTGAGCTAGCTACACCTAGGAACACAAGGATGTGAAGGCCTTTGTCATGCTTAATTTTTATACCTAAGTGATCATAATGATGTAAAGAAACATCCTCTTTTTGACTAGTGCTGATGTTAAGTTTGGCATCTACTACTGTACATTTGTATTTTCTAGCAATCGCTGGAATTCAAAGGCACTTATCGAGGAAAATAAAAACAAACTATTGGCATTTCATATTTTTTGTGTCTTTGGCTCCCCTGGGCAGCATAATTCCCACTTTGCCAGCACAAATAAGGATGAGCTGCTGAGGGAATTGTTTACACACACTGAGCTCCCAGGGGTACAATCAGAGCACATCTAACAATACCATCACTTTTACACCATACTGTTTATTCACTGCTCTCAAAGCACCTAATAAAAGACAGTTATTATTCCTACTTGTGTATCAACCAACTTGGTTGTAAAGAAGTTTGCCCAGAGGCTGTGGCAGCCTAGTACCACAAACATGTGAAGCGACCCTTAGCAAATCTTCACTAAGCAACCCTAAATCAGTGTTTACCATGCCCCAGGAAAAGGGTGAGCTCTGTCTTTACACAGCACACCTCAAATGTTCTCAAGCAGACAGGTGGGTTTCTGGGTTTGGGGATTTTCTGTTTGTTTTTTTTGTTGGTTGGTTGGTTTGGTTTTTGGAGGGTTGTGGTGGTGTGTGTTTTAAGTAACTTCTTAGTAATCAAAAATACAGTTTGCATAGGAGATGGCAATTCAGACTTCTTTATTATCTGAACCAACAATAATAAAATTGCTGTGATTGACCTGTAGCACACTTTTTCACTCAGTAGAAGACTTGTGTTACTACCCTCTGAACAGCAAATTTCAAAATTACTGTGTCCCTCAACCCAGTACCATTTGTCATCATACCAACAAAATAGGAATTACTTTGGTTTTTATTAGCAAACTATTATTTTTAGTAATAAAACTGTCCCCTCTAAGTTTCCGTCTACTTTCAAAGCAACTATGCATGCCAAACACAAAAAGATCAAGAAATTAAATACCTCCTCTTCAAACTTTAGCATCAACTTACATTTGGTGAAGTACCTGTGCCATGGCAACCCCATTAGTCAAGTCTTGAACATCTCTGCAAGGCGCAGCAGTATTGAACGTCTGCAACTAAAAGAAGGAAAACCATTGCGTTTCTCACTCAGGAGACAGAAGGACAGGAAATTAGTTACCATTTTTCTTTTCCTCTTTAAGGCACAAGCATTTAACAAGATGTCTTTCTAAAAAGCTAGTACCACCACGCTTTGCTTTCTCATGCTTGTCATTCTCCTGTAAATCAGATTATGGCATATTAACTTGGGAAACCACAGCCATGTTCATTCATCCCTCAAATTCTCTTGCAGTGCTTCGATCCGGACACACAATTACCTACACAAAAAATGGCATCAGAACAAGGGGCAAAAGTTTGGAGGGTGGGGAGGGAATCCAGTCTTTTACTACAAGCATTTAGTAGTAGAAGTCATGATACCAATAGAAACCCTTGAAGTTATTTGTAGCTTATGAATGGGAAGAAAATGATGCAAAAGTAGTTGGAAAAACAGTTTTCTGAAAGCTACTGCACACTTTAAGGATGACAGCTGAAAAAGACTGAACCATTTCAACTCCTGGCAGCTGGCAACATATTTCCTTGCAATTCAGGATTCCAGAGTTATTCTAATGATGTTCTTATTTAAACATGCAATTTCAAAATACTGCTATAAACCCCAAAAAACTTACTATAACCTGAAGTTATGCATCTTTTGCTGGTAATCATATTTTATTCAAGTATTATTCCTGGTATTTATATTTCATAAATATGTACATTTTCCTGTTATTTTCCAAACATCACACGACCTAGTGTTTAAAAACAGGGCTGGATGTAGTTCTACCCCATCTACATATTTCTGTCTAAAGATTAAGCAACAAAGCCCCTATTTCACCCTTCTCCATTACAAAGCCAGATTACAGATGGAAGCATTTTATAATAAGTTGCCTGATCTATTCTATATGCATTGTTAAATGCAACCTTTGTATTCTAAACTGGTGCTTCCAGGCACAAGTACAATTAAGGTCTCTTTGTAGTAGGGCTATACAAATGAGATGCAACTTCCATTCTACAGGAAAAAAAAATGCAACAGCTCAAGTGTTTTGCAGCTCGCTTCTCCAAAAGCAATACTGTCCTGGTTTTGCTGAAATGGACACATGGAATAAAATTTCTATTCAGGAAAACTGCATTTTTGAGAAGACTACAGTACTCAATTTAGTAGGACTAAAGTTGCTAAGATGCTTTGTTTCAGTTTTGGCCAGCACTGCTATGCAGATTGCCACAGTGAACAAGGTCTTCAGCAGTTTTGAATTAGCCAGGTGCAGAAGCTGGAGGGAGCTAAAGCCAGAGCAGCTGACCCAAACTGGCCAACAGAATTACTCCACATGATAAACATCACACTCACTATAAGTTGAGGAGCTTGCTGGGGACACCCACTTTCCCTGATGGTCATCACATTTTGAAGGTCTCACCCATCATTCTGCTTCCAAGGCCTACTCACCTACTTGGTGCAACCACTGTATATGCCGAGTATAACTTTGCGTATCTTGCATCAATGTTGGTATTAACATTAGTTTCTTCTTATTATTATTTTATTAATTTCCTTTTGTTTCAACCCATTGGTAGCCTTTCCTTTCCCCGATTCCTTTCTCAGGTCAGGACAGGTCACTGGCTGATAGAAGTGCCTAAACAAACTCAAACATATCTGCACTTCCATAAACACCCAGCAGACAGCTCTATACATGAGAGCCCCACCATCAACCTGATCTATAATCCTAGTTTATTACACACCCATAGGCAGCTCTTCTGCTGCCCTGCTAATTTCTGCCTGTAATTCTGACTGCTTCATGTATGAGGTCTTACAAAACTGAGGTACCCAGGTCCTCAGATCACACACCCCACAGACTGTAAAAAGTGACCACAAACTGCAGAATAATCCATCAGGCTCCAGGAATTTGTGTCTTGGAGATGCCCTGGAACATAGACAGTACGTTTCTATTTAACAGTCCTCAGTGAAGTTTTCTTCCATGAACTTGGCCGAGTCACTTTTTACAGCCACAAACTCAGCATCCAGACATTCTGCAGGATATCCCCCCTTGTCAGTTTGTCACCTGCCAGCTTCACCTCATCTCCCCAGTTTCTTGTGCAGATGAACACTCTTCCCCAGTTGCCTTCTCCAGGGGCTCCAGTCTGTATTGACCTCTACCACACCCATCTCCTCCCACGGTGTCTTTCCCAGGACCAACAGACCTCATCTATTCAGCCAATTCTCACAGGGAAGCTCTTCCACACTTCCCATGAGGGCAGTCCTCCGTTCCTCTTAGTTTTCTGGTCTTCCTGCATTTAAGACCTGTAGGCTGGGATTACTTAAATGTTAAAAATGTTTCTCTCTTTTGGATAGTGTATTTTTTTTTAAACTATCCCCAAGCTTACATCTAACATTTTGACTGAATTAGCTATTATAACTGAAATATTTCGTTCCTCAAAAAGCAATCAACTTGGAACAAACTATTGTAGGTGAGAAAGCCATTTCCACACGCATATCAGAATTAGCTATTATAACTGAAATATTTCGTTCCCTAAAAAGCAATCAACTTGGAACTAACTATTCTAGGTGAGAAAGCCATTTCCACACGCATGTCAATTCATTACATAGTTACTCAGGAAAACAAGAGCTCACCAGCAATTATTTTAATTTCAGCCTTCTTTACAATGATGGATAAACCAGAAAGCTGAAAGCTTGCTGTTAATACTATAAAAATAGGTATATGTGGACTAGAGTGAAGGCAACAACATATCCTTATGATCTGTCTACTGGGAAAAATGACTCATTAAGCTTACTACGTTTACAAAGTCCTAAATTACCTGTCCATTTGTAAGTGGGCTTTCCCAAACATCCTGTGAAAGGTAAGCTTCTTCGGAGGTCACTGGTGAATGACCTTGTCAGGTGTGTCTGGAAAATGGAGCTACTTGGACAAAAGTGGTAGAAAAGCACAGTTTCCAGCTGTGAGAATTTCAGGCAGCTACTGACTACTCTATATTTATAATTAGTGACCATACACTCTGAGTATTTGTTTGCTTCCTTCAAAAAGGGTCTAATCAAGCCAAGAAGAGAAAAATATGCAGAGCAAGGGGATTTTTTTTTTTTAACTAGTTTTCCAATTTTCAAAAGTAATTTTTAAATCCTCTGTTTCAGCAAGTAAGAAGTCAGTAATCCCTGGTAGGTTACATAAAAGATTAAGGGGAAACACAACAAACCCAAGCAGCCGTGATTGACAGCACTGGTTTCTAATACTATAGCAGCCTTAATGCCCCCACAAGAACAGGCACACAGGCTTACGAGTCAAGACTGAACACACCAGAATTGAGAGCTCTGTGGCGCAATGTTGTGATGTTGCCACCTGGATATAACCCCTTGTAAACCAAAGAAATCGCTACGTACAGGTACTACCATTTCACCTGAGCCTGTTAGAGCAGGAGAACAGAGTCTTAGAAAACGCTGTGATGTGCAAGGCTGCTTTCTGTATGCCAGTATCTCCCAGAATGGAAACAGCTAATTAAAATTAAGCAAAAAGCAGGACTCGGAGTCTTAGCTTCTCCATATATATTTAAAAGTTACATAAGCGCCTAGAAATAATGAGGGTAGTATTAACTATGGGTTCTCCAAACACCATGCCAGCACAATCACTGCCTTGAAACTGATTTTTACTGTACTTGCAAAAACAATAAAGGTAATGGGCATGAGGGAAAGGGTAGCAGAAGCAGCCACAGACTTCAGGACCATGTAGTACTCCTAATCTGTTTTTCAAATTTGATTAGTTTTACTAAATATAGCTTCAAGGACATGCTGTTACTCATGCTGAAGACTATCTCATCAGTCTAGCTTAAACACACCCTGACACTTGCTGCTACAAGAGGAGCAAATATTTTTCTCTCAGACATACAGCTGCTGTGCTCACAACACATTTGAAAATTGAATTTTGTTTCACTAAACACTTAATGCCTTTTCTCTGGATCTGCTGAAGGCTCAAATGCCAAACAGCTGTAGATTATACAAGACCATTCACATTACTCAGTAGAAATCAACCTATCCAACTCTTGGGAAGGCATGCCCTCAATTTCATCCAGACATTGTTGAGCTGTGGTTCTCCATTTCACACCTAGATTTCACATACTAGGGACAGAAGTTTTATAGAATTAGTCAAAGATACTTTAAAGTAACAATAAACATTCTCACTTTTAATCCCAGAATATTAATAGAACAACTTGGCCATTGGCAAAGTTAACATTACCAGTGCTGCCAGTGCCAAACCAGGGTACGTCTACTGTGGAAAATGCCTTCTGTTAAAGATGCTACCATACATTCGGAGGCAAAGACAGAAGCAGCCTCAGAGTAGCACAGCACCGAAAGATATTCAAGAAAATTTTGCTCTACTACAGTAAAGAAAATAGCTGTTGTAATGGCACGTGAACATGGAAGATACTGCTACATCACTAGGCCTACTGCTGCTACTCTTATCGTTCCACTCCTACCCAGAGGTGAAAAATATTAAGGTTCACTTCACATATACTAACCAAAGTTTGTTTTTCTAACTTTGGAAATTGCTTCAGCAACCGACATGTGAGTTCAATCTTAACAGATATTGTTTAAGTCAGTTTTCCTTGAAAAAAATCATATACATTTTCCCCCTATAATTTTACTCCATTATGTTTTCCCTGTAACATCCTCAAAACTTTAAATTCAATGGCACTTGGCTTGCAGAACAAATAGATAACATTTTTATTCATATGTCTTTCACCCCTGGATAATGCTTGTTTTCTAATACAGAACTTGCTAAAATAAAAAAAAATACAAGATCTAGCAGCAGAACACAGAAAATCATGAGCACCTCATCTCTGTATTAAGTAAATGAATTTAGAAACCTTTAGAACCAGAGAGCTACAGAACCCTCTTCCCTTTAGATATACAGCACTTCAATCTCCCCTGTCCAAACATTCTCAACATCAGAACTTGATCTTTTTTTCCTATTATTCAGCCTGAAGTTCAAGTTGAAATGATGTTTAAAACATATCTTAGTGT